TCTCTGCCCTTTCTAGCACTGGTTAACCCAAGAGTGACCTGAGTCACAGAATCACAGAATTGTTTAGGGTGGAAAAGCCCCCTAAGACCAAGCCCAACCATTCCCCAGCATCACCATGCTTACCACTCAACCATGTCCCCAGGTGCCACTCCTCATGGCTTTTAAATTCCTCCAAGGATGGAGACTCCACCCCTGCCCTGGGCAGCTTTTGCCAGTGCTTGAGAATCCTTTTGGTGAAGAAATTGTTCCTAATATCCAACCTAAAACTTCCCTGGCACACCTTGAGGCAATTTCCTCTTGTCCTGTCCCTTGTTCCTCAACAGCAGAGCCCAACATCCCTCTGACTGCACCCTCCTGTCGGGAAGTTATGGAAAGACAGAAGGATCCCTTTGAGCCTCCTTTTCTCCAGGCTAAACACCTTCAGCTCCCTCAACTTCTCCCCAGGGATTTGTGTTCCAGATACTTCCCTGGACCCACTCCAGCCTCTCAATGTCCCTCCTGAAGTGGTGAGCCCAGAACTGAACAGGATTCAAGGTGTGGCCTCACCAGTGCTGAGCTGCTCAGGTGCTTTTCAAAGCCATTTGCTGGAGAGAGGTACCAGTGTGGCTGGGGAACAGGGGCAGAGAGCTTAGGAGAGAACTGCCATGTCCCCACTCCGACCCCACAGCTCTGGGGGGATGCTGCTCCACAACCCTACACAGCCCCAGCCCTCTGCACCATCTCCCAACAGCTCCCAGACTCCAGGAATTTACAACAGCACTTTTGGGAGACATGAACAGCTGAGCCCAACTGCCCACCCAACACCCCAAAACACACTCCAGATGTACCATGGTTTTTCCCTTGGATTCCATTTCTGTAAATCACAGCTCACCTCTACATCTTGACACTTCCCCACTTCTTTATGAAGAATCCCTAATGATGCCGTGTTCTCAGATGTTTTTTGTTTTGCTTTGACTTTTTTAAGATTTGTTTGTTTGTTTTTATTTTATTGTAGCTTCCTCGATCTTTTTCCAAGGTGTTTTTCCAAGGACTTTTCACTGGCTTATATTGTCTGGTGTTGTAGAGTCCTTGAAATCACTACAATGATAGGAGCTATCTAAACACTTCAGCTAAAACCGACAAAATTCTAAAGGCACACAGTGGAAAATAAGAATCTGTCCTTGAAGCCAAGGGGATATTTGCCAAAGCATTTCCCATCCCCTCTTCCAGCCTGTTTTCTGATGGCAAAGAAAGCACCAGGAAAGCAACTTCTCCTGCACATTTGTGAAGTGCCTGCTAACCACACCATGTAGCTGTGCAAGCCTGAAGTCATCCAGATTCCTTGCCCGCAGGATTTTTGGGGCAGAGACATACCGGCATATAAATACGATTATTTAGCATGCAGCCCGCTGGTAAATGGGGGGACCTTCCATGGGTCACAGCTCCATCTACTGACTCTTCCACAAAATAACAGTGTGGAAAAGATTGGGAAAGCTCCTGGAAGGCTCATCCCCTTGGACCTGCCTTTGGACACACAGGTTTGTGCAGGAATTTAGAAGTGATCTCAGCACAGCAGCTCAAAATGGCAAAGAAAATTTACCTTTTCTGCAAAGAAGTATCTTGGCCCAGCAGCAGGTCTGGGCTCACGCCTGAACCTCCAACCACAGGGCCTCAAATTGTGGTATTTTAGTGTTTGTGGAATTAATGCTGCAGTGGTTTGAACAGAGGAGTTATTTAAACAGGGACAACATGTGCTTGGAGCTGAGCGCTCCAGCAAAGTTTGGGTTCAAGCATAAAATAGAAAACATTGTGTTCATTGGATCTGCTGCTATCTGAAGTGTGGCAGCAGCTGAGCACCATGTGATGGGGGGAAAAAAAAAAGTCAATTTACAGAAACTGAGACTAGACCAACGTCACATGTGAAACCTGAGGAAGATCAGGGAAGAGGACAGGGATCACTCAAGCCACATCTCCCACTCCAACCACTACGCCCTTCTTATGTGCAGAGTATCTCCCTGAACCATAAAGGAGCTCCCCTCTCCCATTCACACTGAAGGAAAAAGAATAAAGAAAAACACTGCAATGATTTATCTGCCCAGAGGGAAACAATCTTTACAGTCTTCTCTACAGCTCAGAGGAGACCTTGCCCTTGCAAGCCTCCTGTTTGCTGATGAGGCTCCAGATGAGCCCTGTTCTGCTTATTGTGTTTCATTGCAAAAGAGCCAGAACTGAATCAGAGGCTTTTAATGACTCAAATACTTGAATTAGTTTGTCCCAAATAGCAGCAAACTTCAACCAGAAACTGCTCACCAGAAAGCTGGACACCACAGGGTCTGGTTCAAAGCTGTCACAAGACTAAGAGACATAAGAACAACCTCTCTTTTCAGGCCAGTGAAACTGAAATACATAACACTAACCTCCTTTTACAGTAAAAAGGGAGAGTTTGAGATGCAGTTCAGGCTTTAAGCCATTGCTGTGGTGAAGCAGATTTAATTCCCAAGCTCCCATCACCACACCCTGTATATTCACCATCTTCCAGTACAATTCCACAGCTGAAACCAGGCTGTTCTCCCCAAATAGGTTCTTGCCTCTTCTGTTACCCAAACCTTCCTGTGCATCCACATTTGAAAAAGGACTGTCCTGCACAATACTGTATTTTCAAGCCCTTCTGATGCATGCCCAGCCCTGGGTCTTTCCCATTCACACTCACATTTCTCCTCTTTTTTAGAGGCATTGGGAGAATGCAAATCACTTTGGCCCCATCTTGCTGTTCAAAACTATCTCTGAACCTAAACAACACCTTTACCACAGCCCTAAAACAGGAACTCTGACCCTCAGTGGGACCTGAGGAATATGGATCAATTGCCCCAGCTCAAGAAAGGGAGCAAAGGCTCAAGGTCCCTCCCTTTCACCTCCTCCTTCCCACCCACTCCCCATATTTCACACAGCATCCACATAAATTTCAAACAAATGGGAAAAAAATAAGCATAAATCACCTCATTTCATTCTGGCACAAGGATAGATAACTTCCAACTTGCTGCCTGGTGTAAAACTTGGATTAAAGAGACACCAGCTGCACACTGAGAGGAAGCCATGCTGTGTGAATTGGAGCCTTACCCACAGGTTTAAGCTCACACACAGATTTTATTGCACATCTCTGCCTCGGAGTAGCAGACAAAATGCAGTCAAGAGCGAGTCAATTCCTGACCCCATCCCGAGGCACATTTGTGCAAGGATGAGAATGGAATCGCTGGAGAAGTCACGTGGTTAAAGACTCGCTGATGGCTCGTGGAAGACTCCAGGCTTTGCTTACACATCATTTTCTGTATTTTGTTTCTTCTATTTTATTACTAGAGACAGTTGCATGAGAACGGGATCTTTGTTGCTTAGGAGAGCATCTGCTCCCACTGCTTATCCTCCTCCTGAAGTCATAATCTTACGTGACATCAAAATCGTTTCCAGAGCCACCAATTACAATGTCACAGAGAATTATGACTTCAGGTGTAGAATTTGCAGTGGGAGCAGATGCTCTCTTCAGCAAAAAAACCTCCAAAACCCAACCTTCAAAAAACCCCATTTTCATACAAGTGTCTCTATTAATAAAAAAGAAGAAAATAAGTTTGACAGCCAGAACTGTAGCTAAATATAAAAATAGTTTTTAACATTTCCACTAGGCATCAGCTGCTCTTTAGAAAGTTCACAGGGTTTAGATTATAAAGAGGTAGAGGATGTAGTGAGAATCAGTCCATGACAGAGAAAAAGAAGGAGAAAAGACTGCAGAATGGTGTATTTCTGCCCAGCATGTGGACATTAAAATTTTGGGCAGCACTGCAATGGCACCTCAGAAGGGAGGGAAAATAAAAAACATGAACTGCAGGTTTCTGGTTCTTTTTAAGGATCCCCAAAGCACAACTGAAATCAGTAATGTTTTCACAGATATGAAGCCCTGTGTAAAACAAACTCAAAGAATCCTTGTCGCGTCACAAGGAATTTACTCAGATGTTTCCAACAATCCCTATCCCAGAAGGACACAGAGGCTTTCAGAGGCAGCAACAATCTCAGGAGCAGTTTGGTAGGGAGCTAATATAGTCACAGCCTTCCCTGGATTTGATCCACGGAAACAAGCCAAGTGTAATAAGTTAGTTTGAAGCTGGAGGAAGGCTGGGGGGGAGGAGCACCCTTTAGGATGCACTAATAACGTAGTGCGATTTGAAATTTTTATTAGAGCTTAACAGGACACAGCAACAGTAGGTGACAAAGAAAGCAGACTGAAGGCGGGGAAATAGCCTTATAGAAAAAAAAGATAATAATGGAAAGTCTGCTGTATGGGAAATATTTTGTAAGATGACTGCCATTATTAGAAGATTTCCAAATGCCAAGCGTAATTAAAAGCTCTCTTTTCAAATGCAGTTCACGGCTCACACACAAACGTTTCCCACCACGTGAGCTTCAGAACACTGCAAGGGGCCAAGCAAAATGCATTTAAGAACTGCCAAACGTGCAAAGGCAGTTTGTACCAATTCTCCCCCCTCACGAACCCTCCAAAGAAAAAAACCTTCACAACAACCCTTTAAAGGCTTTGAATTGCGCTGCCAGGGGATTATCAGTAAGTGACATTTACAAGTGATTAGAGGACAGAGAATTATCTTAGTCACTTGTGGGAAAGGAGGAAAGCTTCAAGGTCAAATCTCTCAGTACTTAAAATGTCGGCAGATGTTTTGTTTACGCAAAAAGTGCCATTTGATTTATGATGGAGCTTTGCATCCAGAACTTCAACTCGGCCAGCGGAACTGCAGAGAACATGAGTGGGAATGGAATCAAAAATTCATATAATACCTTCAAACATTTCACTGATTCACTCTTATTAAAGTGAGAGGCTGGCTTATGTGCCAAACAGTTACACATTACCTATTAGCTCCTTGGAACAAGAGCTCCAAGCCATATAAACCTTGGCAAGCAGGGAATGGAGATAAATCTCCAACAGCTTCAGAAATCCCACATCCACCCCTTTCCGCACTCACCTCCGGACAATGGACTGCTGGAGATTTTTGCAAACGGTAAGAGATTCTCCCATAAACATGTGGCACATGATGACCTCAAGGCAGTTGGCCATGAATGACATCACTGCATCAGACTGCAGAGTCCCGCTCCGGGAGACGATGCAAAGCCGCTGGAGAGAGGAGCAGTGACTCAGTGCCTGGAAGAACTGGGCGCCCGCACAGAAGTACGGCTGTTCCAGCCTGCAGGAATAAACAAAAACAACTCAATGGGCAATTCATGCCTGGGATGCTCTCAGACAAGAGAGAAAGACACAGCACATTCATAAGGGGACTGGCAAATGGATCAAGCAGTGCCTCTGACCCTAAAGGACAAGAGCACAAATAGGCAGAAAGGCCCTAAACTGCAGAATTCTGGCACCCACAGGGAGTAACTCTGGAGTAACCCTGGTTTTGCAAGTTTCCAACAAAATATGGTGGGTAAAACGGGTCTGAGCAGCAGATCCATTCTGTTCTTAAAAGCACAGCTTGGCTTCTGTACCTGAAATCTACCAAGCAGGTGGTGTGGATTTAGGGACCTTCTGCTCCAGTGTACAAACACTGCCCAAACTGGTCATATCTTCAATTCACTGCCTGGGGAGGAGCAGGCGTGAAAAATACACAGTGCACACAGGCTGATGCAGAGCTGGGGCCAACACAGTGACCACAACCAGCCCTGGCAAAGGATGAGAGCTACCACTCTCACACAGGAAGAACAACCATCATCAACCCAACCTTTACCTTAAACACCTGGCTCAGGGAAGACAGACAGGATGCTCTACCAGGGTGATCCAGGAGGACAATAAATTGACACAGTGAAGCTATACCTGGCCAACAAGGGGTCTGTGCTTTAACCGGCAGAGTAAGTGGGCAGGTTCCTCACAGAATCCACAGAAGTGGGTTTCCCTCACAGAAACCAGCCTGCAGGGAGCTGAACCTGCTTGAGGCCCGTGCCACCAGGAGTGTTCATCTGCTTATTGCAGATTTACTACCCGGCTACAGAGCACTTGGGAATCTCAGTCATTGGGTCAGGAAAGCCAAGAGCTCCAAGAAGGTCAATCCATTAGGTGAGTACAAGCTGTCGGGCCCAACTTGATCTGGGTAATCTCTGCATAGGCTTTGTAGTATGCAGGGGTATCTCAGCAACTTAATCCTGTTAATTGATAAATTCTGTTTCAGTCTCAGCCTGCGACTGCTATCAGGTGGCATTGCCTGAAGAGATCCTAAGAGCATATCTGCACTTTGGGTAATAAGTTAAAATTAAGAGAGTGGGAAGTCTCTTCAATTTTTCAGCGTCACTATTGGGGCACTGTAAATTTAGGACAAAAAACACAGAATCTCCAGGATCCAGGTGAATCTCTGGGACACGGCAACCACGCCTGCAATGCTGCCCTGCACTCGCTAGATGGCAATGTTGCTTCGGAATAGCCCCTTAAACTTGTTCCTCAGCCTGGAAAACTGGGAAGGGAAAAAAGGGTGGAAACAGCAGGCAATTAGTCAAATCAAAAGGAAACTACGTTATCAGGAGGATGTGCCAATTTCTATAAAACCATCTTAAGCCAATACAAAACCTTAGACTTTACTCAGGGAAGAAGAGTGACAGCTTCCACCCAAATGTAGTACCAGGAGACAGCCCTGTTGAAGCCTTTATTCCAGGCTCCGAGCTGCCTCCCATCTCTATCACTCTTGGCCTCCATTTCAAAGCCTCAGGAAGCTACAGGGCCTAGGATGAGCAAAGCAACACTGCACACCCAAACCTCCTTCCCTAGCCCTCAGTTCCTCCATGGCAATTTACTCTCCTCAAGGTTAAAGACATTCACGTAACCCAAGACCTTGAGCAACCAAATTCCCAACAGCTGCCACCCCTTGGATGAGAGACCAGCACATTCCTCCCCTGTTATAAATGGGAAGTGGTGGAAAATGAAAACCCTCCTGAGGTGCTTTAGCCCCCCTGGTTCCCCTAACTATTGCAATGGGTCAGGGACAGGCACACAAGCACCAGTATCAGGTGATGAGTGGTAATTTCAGCCACAGTAACAGAACTGTGACCTTGCTGTCTCCCATCTTTCTAAAGTGGTAACATTTGTGTTCATATGGACTAGTGCATGGAAACCATCACAGTCTCCTTTCACAAGCACATCTGGGCTACCATGAAGCTTCTTTGTGCACTCTTTAGGATCAGACCCTTGGTAGGATCCTTTAAGTTCTACCAGGAGAAGAGCACCAACAGGACAAAGTCTGAATCTGGATGTTTTCAGTACATTATAAAGAAATTAAATAAAAAAAATAAAGAGGTGAGACTTTCATACCAACCCAAGGCAGACAAATATCTCATTGGGAAACCCAAAGTAAACTACATTATCTAGACAGTGTAGGAGTCCTTTCCTTCCTGGAAATTTAAGAGGTGTGCATGTACACAAAGCCAAAAAGTCAGCAAAGGCAAGTAGCATTTAACCAGCCCTGACAAGCTGCTAGCTCCCAAATAAGCAGCATGCACTCTTCCTTATCTAAAAGGAAAGCAGTCACAGCAACTTTTGCTCCTAAAACACTGGTTAAAGGGCATATCCTGAGCCCTCAAGGACAGCATGCAATGCCTTCTCATTCTCCACAAGTCAGGAAGGAAAATACCCAATTTTCAAGCCATTGCAGCTACTCTGGACCAGAACACTTTTAATAGTGGCCACAATAAACCACACATCACGTTTCTGGAGATCCACAAACAAAATGGGAGATGTCTAAGGGCAGCCCCTCACCTGAGATCTCTCAAACACTTGCAGTGTTTCAGCATGTCCATGAGAGCAGACATATAGACCACCTTGCCCATCATGCCCAGGTTGGCCAAGGAAAGAGTCCGCAGGTGCTGGCACTGCAGCCCAATGTTGACGAGCCCAGAGCCCGTGAGAATATTTGGCAGCTGTGCTAAGGTGAGGCTCTGCAGGTAAGTCAATTGGCTAATGGCAGCCACCTCTGAATCCCCCACACTCTGTGCCCGGACACAGGGAGGCAACGAGTTCCGAATTGCTGGCTCGTTGCGGGGCATGGCAGAGGAGAAACTGGACCCAATTATCTCCAAGGTTTCCAAAAATCGGAGGCTTCCCATCAGAGCCCAAAACACTGAAGACTCGATCTTCTGATTTGCCTGATCCCCTAAGTTCCTTGGATATGTCTGTATCCCAATCCGAACTTTCCTTCCCAATGTTTGGGGAACCAAATTAGGTGTGGTGGGAGGCTTCTCCACGCTTGCAGCAACATCTGTGATGGAGCAAACTGGTAGTGCTAATGAAAGTAGGTGCTTTAGTCTGGACAGGAGCTGGCACAGGTGGTTCCCTATGCTTTCAGAGCTGTGATGGTGAGCTGCAGAGAGGTTCAGGTGTCTCAAGTTGCAGCAAGACACTACCAGGCTTTCCAAAATGCTGCTGTCAATATCATCTTCTGCTTTCCGAAACAAGGAATCTGGGGCCAGGCAGTGAACGCAGCCACTGAGATTCAAACTGGTCAGGCTTTTAAGATCCTTCCCACCATTAATGACCCTCTGGATCAGGTGCCCACCAGATAAGGTGCATCGGCTAAAGCTGAAGTAGAAAGGGTTGTTGAACTTCAAGTGTTGCAGGAGCCCAGAGCCGTTAATCCAGGCTTTGGGCAGTTGTAAAGCATCCAGACGTACGTTTCTGGCCATGGAGTCCAGGAGGTTTTTGGTGGCTCCCGTCTCCGCAAAGCTGCCGGGGGCAGAGATGAGGAAGGCATGGAGGTTCTCAGGTGTCCGATCACTCAGTACTGCCAAGTACAGCCTCACCACCTCCTGGTTGACGTAGCCAGGAGCCAGCCTGGCGTAAAAGATGCGGAGGTTCTGGTAATGGGGCACATTGCTCTCGCCCACCATCAGCTGCCCAGAGAGCATAAACCCCTCCCGCGAGCGATCGAGGATCTCAAAGTAAAGCAGCAGTTTCTCAAGGCTGGTGCAGCACGGAACGACACCGTATGAGGGTGTGTAAAGCGTTTGCTTCAGCTCCGAGACACGGCTGAGGGTGGCTTTGCACTCACTGCTCAGCTGGCTGGCATCAAACCCCGGGTTCACATCGATGGCCAGGGAGCGCAGGTGCTGGAGCGTGGAGAGCATCTTGGAGAGCCGCAGAGAGGTGACGTGGCACCCGGACAGGTTCAGCTTGACCAGGTTCTTGCACCGTGTTACATGGTCGATAGTGGAGCTGGGCAGCCAGTAGCACCCGGCCATGTTCAGCTGGTAGATCTCCTTCCCAATGTCCCTCATCAGCTGCTTCACTTTGTCTTTGTTTACCTGCACCCAGACAAAACCACATTCAGTGAGAGATACGGCAATGGTGGGCACTGACTCAGTTTCCCAGCTGGAGATGGGGTAAGAGTGGCTGGCACTTGGACTATATGGCAAAGGTTTGGGGATGGCAGCACAGCCTAAGAATTATCACACTGCTGGCAGCTCAGTCTGCCATGCCTTGGCCTCTTAGGATTACACTTCCTGTTGCTTCTGCAGCTCTGCATTACAGACAGTTCAGCAGCTGAGAGTGGAAGGGAAAACCACCTCCATTTTCTAGAGCAAAGCTATTTCAGCAGAACTGGCTATGTGCAGAAACTCAAATTGAAAGAAGAACGTTTCCATTCTTCTCCATTCACTTTCCTATTTTGGAAATGAGCATAGCGGGCTTTCCCCTGCCTGCACTGGCTGATACAGTTCCCATTGAATATATCATCTTTTCTTCCCAAGCTTTATTTTTGTTATAATATGCACACAATTTCTGGCTTTGCTGACTGCATGCCTGACAGCAACACACACAAGATTTTTTTTGCACAACAACATGGAAAACATATTTTGAGAAAATGGTAACTTTACACAACCACAGCTACAAACAGAAGGTCATGTTTACTTTCATTTTAGCTTCAAGAATTAAGGAGAAGTTAAGTTTCCACTGACAGTATTTTATATAACTAAGGGAGCACACAGCTGTTCTAACAAAGCATCCTGGAAAAGAAATGCTTTTAGAAAACAGCTTATTGTGTATTTGATTTCAGAGCTCAGGAGCAGTCTATTTATGCATACACATTGGAAAGTTCTACTTCTTGGCATTGTTTTCCAGCAGTCAGATTTGTCTTCACAGCTAACAGAAGAAGCAGAACCCACCTTATAGTCCTTCTGAAGCAGAACTGTGTGTGTTAGACTCTTGTCAAGGCAAAGTGTTGCGAGTTTCCTGCAGGTTCTCCTGACATTCAGGACCAGGTCTGTGCAAGGGACGTAGCTGAGGATGTGCAGAAGGATCTCATCTGAAAACTCCATCAAGTTGACTCCATTGCTTTCCTCCTCACTCTCCTCGCTAACAACCTCCTGGTGGAAAAAAAAACAAACAAAAACCCAAAAAAACAGAGGAAAAAGAAAAGGAGAATATGGAGGTACTGCAAAACTTCACACAAAACCACGGTACTTTCACTTGGTCTTTCATCACTGGCTAACATTTCCATCCGTTCTACTTACTTTGCAACTGGAAAAGTGACTGTCCATGATCCTCTCCTAAATATATCACAGCAATCTCTTTCTACATCCTTCCTCCAAGCGCCACCCGTTCCAATAACCTTAAGAGTTACATAACCATGCATATATACATATATATACAGCTATATATATCTGTTTACACATACAGACACACACCAACACTGCAGTCCAACATCACCCACAGCTCTTGTGCAACACACTCACACCTTAACGGCGAAACCAGAGCCCAAACCGGCACTAACGCCAGGCCAGCTCCTGAGGGGAAGCGGGGCTGCTCCACCTCACAGCCCCCTGAGCCCCCCGGAGACACCCTGCGAGCGCGATTCCGCCGCCCGGGCCCCGCCGCCGAGCGCCCTCCCTGCCCCCGAGCCCGGCTCCCGCCCTGAGGGCTCCGGTTCCCGCAGCAGCCCCGTTACCAGCGCCCCGAGGGGCCGGTGCGGAGGGGAAGCGGGGGGCGAGCTGAGCCCCACAAGCCCCGACTCACCTCTCCGCAGCGGAACATGGCGGCAGCCGCGCGGTCCCGCCGCAGCCGCCACCGCCTCGCCGGGCCCCGCTCGCAGCGGCCGCGTCCCGGGCTCGCTCCCGCCGGCCCGGCCGCCTCACGGCTCTTCCGGCGCGGCCATGACCCGGTTCCGCGGCAGCGCCCGCCCCGCGCCGCCATCTTGAGCGCGGCGAGGCCGCGCCGCGGCGCCATCTTGAGGGCGGCGCCGCCATGGTGGGAGTGGCGGGTCCATGGAGTCAGAAAACACCGGGATCCTTCACGTTGGAAAAGAGCTCTGAGCTCGTCGAATCTAAGCTTTGGCGGAACACCACCGTGTCAGCCAGACCACGGCACTGAGTGCCATGTCCATGATTTCCTTGAACACCTCCAGGGGCGGTGACTCCACCACCCACCTGGGCATCCCCTTCCAATACCTGACAAACTTTTCTGTGAAGAAATTTCTCCTGATGTCCAGCCTGACCCTCCCTTGGCACAGCTCAGCACCATTTCCTCTCATCCTGTCCGCTGCTCCCTGGGAGCAGAGCCTGACCCCCATCTCACTACATCCTCCTGTTTGGAAGTTGTGCAGAGCCAGCAGGTCCCCCCTGAGCCTCCTTTTCTCCAGGCTGAGCCCCCCCAGCTCCCTCAGCCACTCCTGGTGCTCAAGACCCTTCCTCAGCCCCATTCCCTTCTCTGAACACACTCCAGTACCTCAATGGCCTTCTTGGACTGAGGGACCTGGAACTGGACACAGCACTTGAAGTGTGGCTTCTTCAGCTGTGAGTAGAGGGGCAGAATCACTGCCCTGGTCCTGCTGGTCACACTACAGAACATTGGAATGGTTTGGATTGCAGCTTAAAAGATCATCTCATTCCATCCCGTTTCCACGGGCAGGGGCACCTTCCGTTATCCCAGGTAGCTCCAAGTCCCGTCCAACCCGGCTTTGGACATTTCCAGGCATGGAGCAGCCACAGCTTCTCTGGGCAACCTGTGCCAGGGCCTTCCCACCCTCATGGGGAAGATTTTTTTCCCAGTATCACCATCCTACCCTTCACTGATGTGCAGAGGGCCATGCAGAATCAGCCAGGGCTGCTGCGACTACTGCTGTGACCACAGCCATTGCACACAGCCATGTCCAAGTAGAGCAGCTGGCTCCAGCAGTGTGGCTCCACACAGCTCCTATCCAAAATCTCAAGTACAAACAGGACCAGAGCCCTGGAATTTCCAGTTACGTGTATGCTTCAGGAATTTTGTTCATAGAAAATGTGTTTTAAAGATGACCCATAAAGGAAGATGAATAAGTTGCTATTTTCTTCCTGCTTGATTGTTGCCATTTAAGGCCGTGAATTACATTAAGGGTAAATTGGGGGTTTCACTTAGAAATAGCAAGTGCCTCAAGTCTTGATTATGTATTTTGCTTCTAGGCTTGTGAGAGAGCTCTGGAGTCAAAGACGAAAACCATTTTTAACTCTTAGATGAGGGAGAACCACTGTAGAGGATCTGTACCTGCTTTGTTTGTCATGTGTTTCACTTAAATAAAAGGTAATCACAAATTAAATCCGGAGGCCTTTCAGTCAAGACTGACTCGTTTGACATCTGGGAAAAATACCAACCTACCATATTTGCAGTCACCAGGGAAGGCAGAGACCAGGGTGTAGGAGACCTGCATTTCCAATGCAAATGATAAATAAAACCATCAGTGAGTCCCAAAGGCAGAGGGAAGGCCCTGCCCAGAGAGCAGGGTGGCTGGAGCAGCTGGTGCTTAGAGTAGCCACGGGCTCCCTCCAGCCCTGCAGCGTACAGGGACCAGAGAGCAGCTGACAACCCCAAATAAGTACTGGGAACAGAGGGTGGTGTAAGGGGTTCCTGAGGAGAAACAAGGCTTTGGAAGAGGAGCTGCATTTGGACTTGTGATCCACCAAATAAATGAGCAGTGTGTTGGTGCAGCTCAGACACGGAGGTTGAACATGAGGGAGAAGTGGGCAGTAAAGGAGGAAGGGATTGAACATCTACACTGAACTCTGGCACTTCTCTTCATGGCCCTGGGAGGCCAGACTGTGATAGAGGAAATCCTCCTCGCTGTGCCTCACTCCAGGAATGCTTTTCATGTGGGTAGACTTTGGTCATCTTACAATCAATACACGTTTTCCTAGCCCAAACAAAGCAGGCACATATCATGCTGTCCCAGCCCAGACAGGCAAACAAATTAATATCACTATCAAGATATTTTACTCTGTGTAAAACAAAATATCTCAACATTCAAGGCCAGTCTGTCTTGGGGATTTATGTTTTTTCCTCTGGAAAGTCTTGCCTCAGTTCTCTCCTCTGGTTCTTCTTAAGCCTGATACAGCCTGAACAACTTTTTGTCAGCCCAACTGGGCTGCAGCAGCCACAGCACTTGGTGTGCTTGGGTAGATTGCTAGCTCCACTGCTGGAAGTGATTCTCAATCCCTGATATGGTTTAATACTGTAAGGCCTGCTAAAGTGGATTATAGATGGGTATAATGCAAGTCAGGATGGGCTCCAGGTCAGCAGTCCTGCAAACAACCTCAGAGACCAAGACTGCTCCTGCCCTAAGCACAGCCAATATCACACACCCGTCTCTGAATGAGTACCTTGGAATGGCCATTTTCTAAAGCTGGTGCTTTGCATCCTCCAAGGGGACTTGTGCAAGGAGGCCAGTTTAGTTCAAATGCTCTGAGATTCCCTGGGATTTTTGCACACAGCCAGCTGGCACCTCTCCTGGAGGAGCACATGCTCACTAATGAGAGAACAGGACCCTCCCCACCCAGAGACCGTTTCTGGTCAACTGTCCCTGACACAGCTGAGAGACAATGAGGCCCTTCAGGGCTAAATCCCGAGAGCTGCAACCATCTCCTTTGCCAAGGACATCACTAATTCCCGGCGGTGGCTTGATTCCATAAGCAGCTCAGTGAGGTGACTTTCCAGGTCATCAGCTAATTGCAGGTGAAGTGCCAGCAACTGTCTCCAGCAGGAGGGAAAGTTGGGAACTCTGAGGGAAGAAAGGGTATAAAACATGTTTGCTCAGCTTCCTTGAACTGAGCCATCTCTCCTGGGGCAGCTACAGGGAGGTAGGAAAGGGCTGGGTGACTTGGAAGGATCTAGAGCTGAGTCTAGCCATCTCTGCAGCCTGAGGTATCCTGGAACATCACCATGGCTAAACCAGACGGGGCCATGCTCAGCCTGGCCCATGGGTGAACATATTAAAGCTCCTGGTCTCCCCACAGCCCCTGGCTATTGGTGTGCTGGAGGAGAGGAGATAGCCAGAGCATTGATTATTCCCTACACAACTTCATTGAGTCTAAAAAACCCAGGACATGTCTCCTCTACTGCCTTCCCTGACAGGCCTCTCAGCATTTCCCCACCTCTGTGAAACAGTGAGGGGTGAATTGAGCCGTCTGAAACTCCACAGCAGAAAAACTGCGGTTAAAAAGTCCCCTCTCTTCCAGCACTTGACATTCCTGACAGAAAACCACTCTGGTTCCCTGTTCTCGTGCTCACTGGAGCTGGGAGCAGTGAGTAATGCTTGCAGTTGTCCCTGCCCGGCGCCACATTCTTTTCTCCAGCATGTAATGGCCCAGAGGAGGGATAAATGGGAGCCTTGCTGGAGCAGCCTGCAGAGTGGCTGTGCACACCATGGCCTCATGCTGAAGAGACATCAGGAAGGGCTGTGGAAGGTTCAGCCTCAGTGTATTAAAGGGCTGGTTACCCAAAACAGCAAGTGGAATGGGAAGAAAGGAGAAAAAGCCCTGCAAAGTGTTAACTAACAGTGTACCTCAGTTGGCTCTGGAGCATGAAAATCATCCCAGCTGCTCTGTGCCCAGCAGCTCAGCACCAGTCTCCCTGTCCTCACACCTCTGCCCACCTGAGCTGCCCTCAGCCCCTGGCATTTTGCTGCTCACTGGTTTCTCACCACCACCGGTTTCTTCTGTTCTTTGTGTCTCAGCACATTTTCCTACAGCAATCAGTGACCATTTCAGAAAAGGCTGAAGAAAGGCACCCCATTTCCCTATTGCTGTCATCTCTTCTTGGCTGCTGGCCTTTTTCCTACCCTGCTCCCACCAGCTCCCTCCCCAGGAGCTGCCATTGCCTCCTCCTCACACCATTTCCCCAAGACCTCAGGTTATAAGCCCAGTTTGGGCCTCGCTCCAACCTGTTTCACCTCCTGTCTTGCAAACTGGTGCTTCCAGTACTCATCAGCTCAGCCCAGAGCCTGCACCTCCAGCCCTGCCAGGCTCCCACTGCACCCAGGAGGGAGCCTGGGGAGATGAGGGGCAGAAACCGGCAGGTCTACCCAGAGTACAGTACAATGCCAGAGCAGGAACAGGCCAGACAGAGGATTAAAGAGGAACTAGAGGCTGTTCCCCGCCTTTCATCTGCTTCAAGCATGACACAATCACAGCTATTAGCTCTTCAAAGGCAGGCAAGGCTGGCAGAGCCTTGGGAAGCTTCACTTCTGAAAACGCTCCCAGGTCTGGTCTCCCTGAGCTAGCAAGAGTGTTACCTGGCTTGGCTTTTCCTGGTTCTTGACCCAGTAGCCTCAATCCTCTCTGTCTCCATTCCACAAATGTGACTCCAGCTCTGGGGGCTTGTGGAAATTGCTGTACCCAGCAGGGTCTCAACTTTGTAAGGGTCATCCCTGTTCTTTTCCACGAAACCAGAGAAGCTGATCAAACAAGGCTGAAGGTTTGGAAGCTCAAAGGATGGGTAGAGACAGTGAGGCCAAAGTAAACCCTTCCTGGCAAAGGCTGAGCTGGAGGCAGGTACTTGGATTGGAAACCTAAGCTTCCTCCTTCCTTCCTTCCTGCACCCTTTTTCCCAGCCCCACCCATGCAGAACCCCAGTAGCCCTGCTCTCTGAAGTCAGTTTTTTCCACTTCACAGGACTTTCTCTCTTGCTTTCACCTGAAAGCTGCTCCACCCAGCCACCACACTGTCAGGGCATGAGTCTCCCTGCCTGAACCCAGCCTTCCTCCCAAGGCAAACTGGGAGCAGGACAGGCAAGCTTCGATACCTGGAG